CCCAGAAGCATCAAAATGGTGGAACCTGATACATACAAGTTTCTAATCCTACAACAGATATTCTCCAGCCCCAGTAGGACCAAACTTCCCAAGAACCTGTGGGATTTGCCCCTACCCAGCTGGGACTAATACAACTAGATCAGGCCCTCCAGGATCCACAGCTTCCAATTTCATGGATTCAACCAACTAAGAATCAAAAATATTCAAAAAAAACTTTTTTTTTTTCAGAAAGCCCCCCAAAGCAAAACTTGAATTTGCCATGTGCCGGCAACTATTTACATAGCACTTACACTGTGTTTGTAACAATTTCAAAGCATTTACATTGTATTAAGTATTATAAGTAATCTAGAGATATTTAAAGTATACAGGGAGGATGTGCACATGTTATATGCAAATACTGCACCATTTTATATAAGGAACTTGAGCATCCAAGGATTTTGGTACCCGTGGGGTGGGGGGGGTATGGGAGAGAGTCCTGAAACCAGTCCCTCCTAGATACTGAGGGCAACTATATTTCCTGATTGGCTTACATCATAGCCTGTTCTTTACAAACAATTTTACCTTCTACTGGGAACAAAGTAAGTTAACAGAATGAGCAGTCCTCTGTACACCAAGCTAATGGACATTCCTAAGATAGCAAGAGTAGGGTAGGTACTTGGTCATGCTTCTGAAAGTTAGAATGGTATGAGAAGCCCTTACTATTCACTCATCCATTGCTTATCATGACCAAACTTCCCATCTTGAAGTTGAGACAATCTGTGACTTCAAAAGAGTTAAGCCACTTCTCATATGATAAAATCAAGACCTCAGACATTACCAGTCACATATAACAAAAAATCAGTATCCAAACATACAGCTTCATGAGTGTATGAATTGTTTTAAATGTTGTTCACTGGTCACCATTTCTGTTACCCACTAGTAAAATCTCACATTGGCCCAATCAGCAGAAGAGCCAACCCAGTGCATTTAGGAGCCCAGAGTTTGAATTATGATGTTAAATGATGCCAAGAGCCACTGGACATGGAGAAAAGGGGAGAAGTGGGGAAAGTCCACAATCAGAGCTTTATCACTGAACCTATCTGAAATGAAACACAGCAGAATCAGTCTCTAAGAACAAGTTTTGGGGCATGACTGATCTAAATAAAAGCCTAAATCCTAAACATGCAACGTCCACCAGTGTACTTCACAGTAGATTTAGATTCCTTTCTCCCTTGCAAAAGAATTCCTTTCTAGGGAAAATAGAAAAAAGATCCTTAATTTCAAAGTGGCAGCCTTTTCCCCCTACTGAATAAGAGAAGCATTTTAAGAAGGCAATTGTGTCATTCAAACCCTAGGCAGCATGGCCCTAGGGAAGCTGTGTGGACAAAAGAGAAAGAGGAAAAAGATCTGTTTTCCCCCAAAGTGAACCCCACAGCAGTGCACATTCCTCACACTTGTCCTTCCAACTTGACAAAAACAGCTTCCTCCTGTGAACAGCCCCAGTTCCAGTAACTATCTTCCTGAAAGTGAAGGACAATGAAACAAACCAGGGAAGAAATAAGACAGAATGAGAAAGGCAATGTCCATTAAAAAACACATGAGGACAACCTGTTCTCCAGATACTTGTCTACAACCTCACAAAGCTGCCAGATCTGTGCATTACTGTGCCCTCCTAGTCACGAAAGTCCTCAGTACTTCAGCAATCTAAACATTAAGTTCTTTTCTTGCAGAATAAATGCCTGCTTCTGACCTTGTTTATATCTCTACCTCGGAGCATTGCATAATGCCCTGGTCCTAGTGTTCCAAGAACAGAGTTCAGTGGCCTGGACATCACTCCCTAAGAATCTGCAGGTGGGTCTCACACGGTTCCTGCTTCTCAGAATTCAGTATGAATACTTTCTCCT